GGGGGGGGGGGGGGGGGGGGGGGGGGGGGGGGGGGGGGGGGGGGAACGTGAAAATAATAAATAATGTAGAAGATAATGGTTCGGTTTTCGAAAGGATCCGGCGGCTGGCGGGGACACGGTAGACAAGCATGGATGGGGCTATCGAGCAAGGGGCAAGTGGGACAGCAAAACAACGCATCGCCACGACCTTCACCCCACGGCCGCTCCAATAGTCTTGTCGGAAAATTACGTCCATGCCTCCCTTTCCACGAACGAACCAAAATGGACACCCTCAAGGCAACCGTTCCGTCGTCGCGGTAACGATCACAGAGCGACTGATACAAAACGTGGAATGCTTTGTCGGGAGTTCGAGAGATGGGAAATGGCCACGGTTTGTAAGACCAAATAGCTTCTCCCGCGAACCCATCCAAAAACGCAGCAATCTTTAACATCAAAATCACCAATTCAAATACCCTACAACGGCCCTGCGTTTAGAATGATGAGGTCGGGCGTGGGGGGGGTGGGGTCTCCGGACGATGCATTCCCGTTACAGTATTCACTCTTTGATACTATGTGATATATACTGGTATATATTTTTACCTGTACGAGGGAAGAAGGAGCGGGTGGCGTGACGCCCGCACCGTTCTCAGGGCCGCTCTCCTCCGACGATTTCTTGGACGACTTGATCATGCCGATCATCTGTGATCGGGCGGAAAGAAACAGCGCCAGGAGAGAGAGAGAGGGCACCAAACCAACACGGAAGGAGCGTTCAGTGGCAGCGGCTATTTCGGTTTTAACGGACCCGTCTTGTCGTCGGGAGCCAGCAGCAGCCTTAGCAGGATTTTTATGTATTAAGCGCAAACATGTTGGACAAAGCATACAATCGGGGAGGTTGGGTTAGGGGTAGGGTTAGGGAACAGGGTCTGCGTATCCCCTCCCCTTTCTACTTCCTCAAAATACAAATATGATTTACCGCGAAGGCGGTCCCGAACCAGTCTTCTCGATGTAGACACCGCTCTTTCTTATCGTCTGCAACATGGGTCGTCGTTTCCGACTGAATACTTCATTTCAACAACAATCAGCGATTGGTCGTTCGACAAGGAGACCGTCGTCATCAAGCACACAAGGGTGTTACGTTGTCGTCCTAAGCATGCCGTCCGAAAGAAGGCATGCTTGCCTAGTGGCAAGACGGTCTAAACCAAACCATCAACGTCCTCTTTCCCGCGAAACTGGAAGAACGCGGTAGCCATGAACAATTCATCCAACTGCTAAATCTCTCGTGGTTTGAGATGCTTCTGCTTGTAGGAGCACGCGTAGATACTCGCCTCTTGAATCTAAAGAAGACAGGAAACTGATTCATCCCTCGTGCTTCGAGATGTGCCTAAAAGGCGTACGCACGCACACACACGCACACTTGACGCCCCTTCACGCGGTCCCATACCATGGCATGTACAACTATCTTTTGTACTTAACCGCACGAAGATTGGCGTATTTTTTCATTGGTCAGCGTGGTCGATGCAAACGATGAAAACACGCACGCCCGCGCTTGATTTTCACCTGTGCGGTGTCTTCTTCCCTCTCTGCCATCTTGTAGTCTGCGAGCAGGTTCAGGCGGTCCAGAATGCCGACGGTAACCTGTGCGTAGGCGGAGACAAGGAAACGGCGTCGCAGCAGTCGGGTCGCGCCAGCAACAAGGTCAGAGCTTCCCACGTTGCGAACGGGATCCACATTCTACAACCGCACACGGACAAAGCCATTTCGAGATATGACCGTTGTACATACACCACAAGGGTCGCACGCCTGAAACGAAGGTAGGTACCGTGGCGGCTACGACGCACGAGGACAAAGATAAGAGTTACGGACAAAACAAGAGAATAAAAAAAAACACTGTCACTGCCACCGTCATAAACAGGTGCTGGGATAGTGTACAAAGTACGCGTTGTCGGGCTGCACGCGTCGTTCGTACATGGCACATGCCGAACGTCTGCAAAATAGAATAGTGCAACACTGGCCGACAACAGGGTATTCTACAGTACGCCGCTCGTCGGGCTGCACACTTCCTTTGTTAAAAAGCATACCATCAAGTCTGCAAAATTGGCACGCCCACGTCCTGTGTATAGCAGCAACCGTTTACAGTCGTCTGCATGTTAGCACTCTTGCAAAATTGAAAACTAGCACTTTCATCACCTTCTCGAGGTTGAGCGTGTAGAAGTGCAGGCCGGGAGCCCCCGCGGCCAACAACGCCTTGCACATCTCCTCGCCGTGGTCTACCCCGAAAGCCTTGACGGCCTTCTCGTCCTCCTGTAGGCCGGGGGGGTTTCCCGCCAACGGAAGGTGGGCGGGCGGCAGGGTGAGGGTGCGCCAAGGGAGGGAAGGGATATTGATTTGCTGCTTCAACACCTTTTCGTGACTCTCGATGGGGGGAGTTTCATCTCATACCAGTACATGCCGTAGGCGTTCGGCCATTGACCTAACTGGGAGGGGGGGTTGTGCTTTCTTGTTTCGAGCACCTGCCGCGCTGAAAGAACGGACCAATGACCTGGCTCCAGAGTCGTGGGTAATGAAGAACAGAATGTTTCCTTTCCTCGGGGTCCCATGTCCCATGCGGAGGGGGGGCGGGAGGCGGGGCAGGAGGGTCCAGGCATCGGTGCCACGAGCGCTGTGTACATTTGTGAACCTTCGCCTATTGCTATCATATTACCACGTATCGTAGGCCTTGCACCCATTTTGGCTAGGCTGCTCGGGAGTAATACATGGCATGCAGGAAGACGGCACGTCGTGCGCGTTGCACCTTAATCTCCTCCATCTTTGCCATGAGCTCAGGCGGGACTCGGGTGAGGCAGAAGCCGGTCATCTTCTTGAAACCCCCGTACGCGTTGATGCACATCAGCCCTGGCACCACTGGCACTTCGATGCCCCTTTTTTTTGGTGTTTGGAGGGGAACGGAGTAGCGGCGGAGATAATTCAGAACACAAAATTCGGCGATACGGCGGCGACAGCGACAACAGCACAGGACGACACTATTCAAAGTCACATCCCGACATATGCGCAAGAACAACAACAGCAGCCCGAATTCGGCAGACACGTGATATAGCAAAACACGTGGGAACCTAACCGAATTAATTCCCGATTTTGTTTTTCAGCACACGCACAAGCGCAGCAAGGAGTCACCAAGACTTGCATCTGCACACGCTCACTACGTTCGCGCGTCTAGTCACATACGGGTCTCGCGACCCATGACGCAGTGATACATCTACCGGGCAGCCACTTGTTGGCGGGACGACGGCCGTTCACAAAGGAAAACAACATCACACCTGTCTCGGCAGGCCTTGATGTACGAGGCGTAGACGGCGGGGTCGAAGAACATTTGAGTAATGATGAAGTCCGCCCCCGCGTCCACCTTCTCCTTGATGTAGCTCATCTCTATCTCGAAGTCAGCGTCTGCACGGCAGGGCAGGCACACAGCGCAGCACGCAGCATGTCGCGGGAGTTAACACGTGGGCGCAGGGTTAGCGACTGCCATGGCAGCAGCACCAGCGGTGTGAAGCGTTGGTGACAGGAGGTCTCAGAGTCAGCGTCTACGCCGCCGTGGCACCGTGAATAAAAAAATCACCGGACCACCTATTCCGCACAAAGGAGCGGTGGTGACTCGTGGTCGCCTCGCCCATCCTCGTAAAAACTTCAGCTTTTCAAACGGTCGATACAGCCAACCTTTGAAAATAAAGTCGAGGCTCACGATGGGGAACCCCACGACCAGAACCAATGGCACCCTGATTCGCTCGACGGCATCGTTGTGTCTCGCTCTACTTCCTTGCTCCGCCTCCTCTGCCCGTCTGTCTACCTACCTGTCTGTCCGTCCGTGTGTCGGTAATCTCTCAGCTCTATCTCCATATTTGCCTGTCGCTCTCTTTTCCTGCCTGCTCTGTACGTCTCTGCGTATATGTCTCGGTCCTAATCCCATAAAATCCCATAGCCGCCTTCATGCGCTAGCTCTATCTCAATGTTTTCCCGTCTGTATGTCTTTGTCTGTTTCTGTCATTTTTCCAAACCCCGCACCCTCCTCCAATCCTTCTCACCAGAGCAGACGGTGACCACCTCCTTTCCCTCCGCGTCTTGGGAAATCTTGCACCGACCCTTCTCCGCCTCGCTCAGCGACTCCACCCCTCCCGGCACCTTCGCAAAATAAAACAAAAAGTCGGAAGAAAGTACTTACAAGAATAGACTTGGTAATCGCCGAACGCAAAAAAAGAATGGAAACAGCGACAGAGTGGTGGAACAGTCCAACACCAGCTTGTGCAAGAGATTAAATGACACCGACAACAACCACAACGTGCATGAGAGATTTTCTGGAAGAACTTTCGCATCAAGGCCTCAAAACACAGATAGCAGCTACAAGTCATGTGGCATTCCAAACACAAAACGTTTAAAGGGCATGTTGAAAAACAAGACGAAATCAAACATTTACGAAAAAAAAAAAAACATCTGACCACCATACCCGCCCTTCGACGCTCTCCACGTCAACAAACTCAAAACTCGGTCACGCGCGCATCGATGTACAACCAACCTCCTTTATCCTGTTCGGGTGCCCCTCCGGGTATCCCGCCACGCTGATGCCGAAGTAGTCCCCATGATTCTTCCGGATGTACTTCACCTGGAAAAGGAAGAGAAGAGAGGGAAAACGGGAGTGCACCCCAATAATTGACGCACGAAATTCACCGGCGACACGGACATGGGCACAACAACAACAGATAATGCCAATAGGTGAGCGAACACTGACTGCTGAGCCCTAACATACATCATGAGCTCGCCAACAGCACGACGGCTGGAGAAAGGGAGAAAAAATGATGCTGTTCGCACTTCACCAGAGGGGCGTGCACTTTTTCGTGACGGCGTTCAGCGACACCGATCAACCCTGAGGCAACAACCATTTTCCTGTCCTGTGCTAGCGAAACAATTGCGCTGCTATGCAAGAAGGACCACTGCCCAACGCAAAAAACAACTATCGTAAGCCTCTGCGGCGTACCCAGAGTCGGGGGAAACGGGGGTCTTCACAACAACACCACAGGCCGTGCAACGAGATTCCCAAGGATTGTGCTACCAACGGCCGGGATGCATCCCCCCTCAACATATAGATCGAGCAGTAGGCCAGCAAAGCACAACGTCAGTGCGCTCCCTTCATAATAACGCGACATGGCCCAATAAACAGACCTGGGCACCAAAAAAAGCGAAAGTCCGAGCGCCGGTCATCAATATTCTCTAAGGTTGTCTTTATGTTCACTACATATACGGCCCAAAAAACAGACACAAAAGTGCCGTGGGAGGGAAAATAAATACCAAGTCGAGAGCGCCGGTCATCAACAAGACTCCTTTTCTGTACATCTATCCACGAGAATATCCGGCACTCACGAGATCGAGCGCGCAGCTGAATCCTCCCTCAGTGGCCTCCCAGGTGTCGGAGCCCGTGGGAGGGTCTCCCCTTAACGCCACGATGTTGCGGATGCCGTGCTCCTAAAAGCCCGCAGAGCGAGGGGAAAGATGATAATGCCATGCACAGACGGGGGTGTATCGGCGGAAAACGGGGGGGCGGTAGTGAGAATGGGTCAAGCAAAAGTGCGGCCATGAGACGGGAGGGCGCCTCGCGGCGGTGGCGCGACGTAACCACATGGCGACGTTCCGTTTCAGCCGTCCGAGAGGAAAATTGACATGTTTGTGTATCGAGATGGTTCTGATGGGTAGTCGCCGCTCAGACAGGCTAGAATGAGGTAACTATTGAAGACTTACCACACGTCGTCAGAATGTTTATACAAAAACCTGCAATTCGATGGTGAGTCATCCACCCAGAAAATAACCGACGAGGCTCCGAGGTTTGATGGTTGCTGTAGCGGTGCCACCTAAGGTTACCGTCTACAAACCGGCGATGCTTTTGATTGTTTCTGACTTTCGGGGCGATTTTCGCCTGTCACGTGCGGGACACACAGCGGCCGGCCAAACGTGGTGCCCCCGCAAACAGAGTGGGCGGCACAAGGCACCGGACTATCGTACCAGGGGATCCATGTAACACACAACAGAGGTTACCGAGCCCAAAAAAAAAGTCGGCACCAGGAGACGTCCATATAGACACCGCACCGAAATGCTCACTTACTTTGCACTGGGCCAAAGCGTGATCGATCTTGTCGACGGGCATGTTGGTGCACGTGAGGTGCATGTTGGGCACCAGGCCATGCTCCTTCTTGGTTCTCGTGGTGAGGTCGAGGGTGAGCTCGGCGGTGCTGCCGCCCGCGCCCCAGGTGAAGTCGACGAACAGGGGCTTGGTCGCCTTCATGCGGCCCAGCCGCTCCATGAGGTTCTTGACGCCCTGCGCAACAAGAGTGTTTCGGTAACAACCGGCGGCAAAAAAAACCCTTACTATTCCGGACATGGATTCGGATCCTTCATGCATGTATATGGTCATGAATGGCAGCTAGCCGCGGCACCAATTCGAACGATGATCTCGGTGTCGGAGGGAGCTTGGGGACAAAGCACCAACAAGAGACCCAAGTTGCCAACGAATCTATCCAGCGGGAGGGGACCAAAAACAAAATGATTCAATAATACACGATGCGTGTCAAGGGAGAAAGGGCTCAATCGTCTCGGATGGGTCTGGCTTGCTTGGAAGAGCCATTGTTGTTGCGGGGAAAAGGACACACGCCGGTCGTGGGATTCTTCGGGGGTGTCGTTCGGCAAGTTGTCAACACGGACAGAACAGAGCGCGGTTTCGGGGCCGAGAGGGCAAAACATTCTCCTGTTGTGAAAAACAGACGGGAGGAACATGCACCACGCATGAAAAGCACCAGCTGTGTTGACCGTGCTTGATTAAGCCGGAGTGCTTTCTGGTAGGCACAAAACACTCACTCCCCCCCCGTTCATCTGTGACCACACGCCCCCGTATCGGAGGGTATGTATGGCGGGCTCGAAGGTGAAGACCAGCAGTGGTGCGTGCAATGTGCAGGCAGGCTTTGTTTTTCATCTTTTGTGTTGGGCGTTTCATCGAGCCTTGACCACTCACCACAACAACGGCACTCACGCTCTTCCAGTACAGTATTACACTCCCGGCGATATACTAGGAAAGAACAAGGTCTACGTCTGCCAACAAAGCAGCCTACTTGTCCCGTCACGACTGCAACGCTACCGCCGTGCTGTACAGCAGTTGGACAACGAGTGATACAATTCGCCGGCTTGGAAAACAAACGCATGCATAACTCGTTTGTCCGCATTTTATTTCGCTGGAGAAAGCTTCTCGACGAAAAGACTCAACTTCAGCAGGGTGCCAGATGTCAAACGCACAGTTAGAAGGTGTCCTTGTGGCCTTTTGAAAGCCTACGGCTGCTGTCCGAACGCGGAGTGCCCAACAAGCCAATCAGGGCGCCGCCGGGAGCGGGGCAACCAGCCCCTTGTCGATGTACGCATACGACACGAGAGTGAAGAGAATGTAATCCAAGGTCTGCCATGAGAGGTGCACCCACAGTTCATTAAGGCCAAAACGTTCCAAAACAGAGAGCGAATGCCAGTACAACGCGTGAGAACCCCCCCGTAAGGTTGCTACAAGGTAGCGCGGGAGAACGAGATGAGGGGGCAAGTGCGGCAACCGGGGCTGGTGTAACGGTGGCACACCAAACACCGCCCGTCAACCGCATGCTGCTTTTTTATGTAGTCTGCGGTGAATTCGTCCCTTGTTAGCTGTCAATTCTACAGGGATCCACCTTGCGGCAAAGAATCAACTGTTTTATTGAAGGCGGGCACTAGGGAGGGAGCACAACAAATTGTGGTAACCGCCCGGTATCACAGTCCACGCTGACAGCAGTAGCATACCACGTGTGTTCGATTGTGATGTCCAGGACACATGCTAATGAAAAACTGCGCCAGCACATCGCCCTTATCCCGTCCTGCTGTCTTGACACCAACACCAGCCAGTCAGCAGCGAAGGGAGTAAGCGATGGGCGGAGCGCCCCCCGCTCTGTCGAAATCCACTCCAAAGACTTACCAATGTTTGTTTGGTCTAGAGGAGGGTGCGGTTGTCATCTACACCACGTTCAACTCGAGGGCATACTTTCATATTTTCAAGTCTGCGACGTCTTACCGTGTCCGTCCGCGGAGGGAAAAACTCGAGCGACTGGAAGCCAGCGCCGCCCTCCGTCAGCGCCTCCTTGGCGCTAGCCTGAATGAGTTTGATGATCTTCGTGTCCGGCTCGGAAGGCATGGTTCACGGCTCTCTGTTGGGTGGTGTGTGAAAGGGCTAGTAGGTGAGGTGATGGGCAGCACCTCGAGTGACTCGAGCGTGGTTGCGTGTGCTACGATAATCGCGGAATCGTTCGGGAGGGGGATCCGCGTATTGATAATCTACCCCCGCCCACGAATCTGCGGAGCAACTCGAGATCACGCTGCACGCGATCTGGATCATTCGTTCGGTTCATCATCAACATCGCTACCGCGGCATACACTACCACCGCTCGCTGCTCTTATTGAGGGGCAGCACATCACACCAGCGCTGGCTTTCAGGATTCACCCCGTTGCACCGCACGCCAGAGAGGCTGCCACCGGCTGCGTCTGGTGGTGGATTAACGCGACGACAACAAACAGCACGCTCAGCATGCGTCGACGTACGTTGTGGACCAGCAGCCGCGCGCGCCGACGGCTGCAGAACAGCGGCAAGAGGCTGATTTTCGTCTCGGCATTCGTCGCCTGCTCCACGCCCCGGAGCCTGGGGTTATTGCCGACGGCCACGCACCCGACGGCCCTCCGGAGATGGAAGTCAACCACCACGGCTTTCGGGCGTCATCACGACGAGAGCAGCGGCAGTAGCAGCAGCCGACACTTGGCCGACAGCGTGGGCAGGAGCATCAGGATGGCCAGGAGAAGAAGAGAGAGCACGCTTATGGCCGCGCAAGGAGCGGCGGGCGGGAGCGCGGATGGGAGGCAGGGGCCGGGCAAAGGGACGCAGGTGGTGCTCCTCCGGCACGGGATGAGCACGTTCAATAAGCTCAACATTTTCACGGCAAGTGGTGTTGGCGACGACGTCACGAAGTGAACACGCCGCGTTGCCTAGATTAAACCTGTCGACGCGTCCCTTAGCAAATATCGACGCACGTGCCGACCAGCACTTGTGCAGCAGTCGCTCCCACGTATTGTTCTCGTTACCCCCACTAGACGAAGCTCTCACCAACCTCAAGAAGCACAAGCTCGGCGGTGTACAGACAGCAGTGCATGCTTTTGGCCGCCGCAAGGATCAAGGAGTAGGGTAGTTCTTGGCATCTTGGCACCACTAATCGACGTTTCATGGAAAGGCACTGGCACTTGACGGCAAAGCGGCACTTTTTTTTCCGCGAGCGCCGGTTGGTTGGTGGACTTTGGTTAGTTTGCGGTCGTACGAGTACATATTCATGCATCTGTGGGTGATACTGCTGCAATCTTGCGTGTTCGGATATTGCCCCCATTATTTCCCGACCACAGGCTCTCTTTGCTGCAGGACTGACAGTTGTTGAGGAAACTGTTTTTCGAGAAAATGTATTTCTGAGTCCCCCTTCAACAGCAGTGTGATGTGTGTGCATATCGTGCACGTTTTTTAGGGAAACATCGCACAAAACACAAAAAGACTCCTGTTGTACCCATTCGAGATACATTTGTATAACCACGCTCTTTGTGCTGTATCCTTGTCGGTCCTCATCTAATGATGTAGGCATATGGTTCCACGTGAAAAGATGGATCGCCTTTTTTTATCACCGCACGCGGTCACGCAGCAAGGACCACCTACCCTGGGCTTCAATAAACGGCACCGGCGCCCTGCCTGTGGCGGCTCCTGTTCCTGCGGTTGGCGCGATTAGTCTGACGGTTGAGAAGCAACGACACCTGCCTCGCAACTGTCGGCGTGATCGCGCCGACTGCAGGAGCAACGGCCGGCACAGGCAGGTCGGCCAGCGCAGGTGCCGTCGTGGCCCGGCAGGTAGATGCGGTGAATGACCGCTGCCGCCGTTCGAGCGTGCCTGGTCCTCGTCCATGACCATGCAAGTACAATTGTAGAAGGTTCGAAACAAAAGTCGTGGTGGTGGTGGTGGTGTGATGCAGTTTTTTTTTTTTTGCATCATTGCTTTTCGCTCTCTCGCTCGTCCAACCACAGCAGTACCTTTTTTTTTTTCGAAAGTAAACAAAACCTCGTCGTTCCCATTTCTTGGACAACCCATGTTGAGCGATTTGACGAACAGCAGTATTGCCAAGCCGGCAGTATTACAGTTACACCGGGACTCCCAGTTCACCCGTCCTCCAACCCCCCCCAAAATATTTGATTATATATGTACGAGAAGTGCGAGAATATGTTGTAGAACCAAACGTGCATGAACTTTGTGCTACAGCAGTAGTCCCAGGATCGTCGCCAAAGAATTGGCGTTGCTTTTCACCGAACGCGTCACGCATCAAATCTATCTACCCTGGGCTACTACTATACGGTAACCGGACTGGCTGCTTTGCTTGTGGCAGTTCCTGTTGCTGCGTTCGGCGCGATGATGCCGACGGTTAAGCAGCAAAGGACACCCACCTCTCAATCGTCGGCGTGATCGCGCTGACTGCAGGAATTCGGATCAGGCAGAGCAGCCGGTGAACGTGCCGCCTTAGCCCAGGTGGATGGCGGTGATGACCGCTGCTGTCGAGCGGGCCTGTTTCTTATCCATTGCCATCAAAGTAGAAGCTTAAAAAGAAATAGCGGCGGTGGTGGTATGACGCATCATGTCTCTCTTGTTTTCATTCCCCCTCGTCCGACTGTGTTTCTTGTTTTTGTTTAAACATGATCCTGTGCATAAGTAGATGTATCATACAACGCAAACACGTATCATGCATCCATCTGACTGCTGCAGTTTTGTCACGTTCTCATCTATTTTTCACCGTCTGTTTTAGAGCGATTTGACAAACAGCGGTATTGTCCAAGCGGACGGCAGTGCGTCCTTCCGTTCGTCCTTGTGCGGTACAACGTACATTTGACTCAGCCGTTATGCGTGCCATGCGTGCGCGTAGCGGGGCGTAAAGCTTGATGGATGAGACCACACGGGTATTGAGGGGTGACATGGTGGTGGCAGGATAAAGGTATTAATTGATAAAAGGGAGAAGAAGAACCGTCTGGTAATTCCGTTAGATTGCGTCAGTTATTGACGGGAGCTTCGCAGCATTGGGATGGTAGTATACGGCGATGCTCGTTACTTTTCGACGACCTTTTCTTCCAATCCTGTTTTCTTACAAGTATGTTTTGTTGTGAGTTCCTAACCCTCTCGGCGATGGCATCAAATGTACTTTGATGAGAGTATCATACTTCCATGTGTCAGCAACTTGATGGCCTTGGTCAGGATTCCCGGCCACTTTGAGCCGCCATTTATTTCACCTTACTTCGAGCCGCCATTTATATTGCGTTGCCTAACGACTGCTACGATCCCACGCGTTGTGTTACCCACCTACAAACATTATCGTCAATGGCAGGGATGGTGCGACGTGCCGCTGACGGAGGAGGGGAAGCAGGAGGCCCTCGAGGCGGGCAAGCTCCTCGCCGCGGCAGGCTTCCGCTTCGACGTCGCCCACGCCTCCGTCCTCAAGAGGGCCTGCACTTCCCTGCACCGCCTCCTCGACGGCTGCGGGCAGCCCTACGTCCCCGTCAAGACGAGCTGGAGGCTTAACGAGAGGTGCGTGGGTTGGGTTGTGTTGGATGGCACGGAAGTAGGCGAGGCGGGAGCACGATGGGCATGGGGGCGAAATCCCCCTTGTTCGTACGGCAGGGACGGGACGCACAATACGCACGACGAAAAACACAACCGGGAAGGTTATTGGTAGGGGCAGGGGCGAGCGCATGATGGGCGCCGGGCGAAAACAGCTGAGATTTACTTGCGTATTTTTTTGTGTGTGTCCGCGTTGGTGCACCTGCTTGTTGTGTCGTCTATCGACTACTCTTCACGTTGTTCTGTGTGGGAGGTCCACCCTCTCTTGCCCTACTTTCGAGACCGTGCAACAAACAGCTGTTGCTAAATAGTTCGTGTGTGGGCTCGTGTTCGCCATCTCTCCAACACCGTACCGTCGGGTGTCCCCCCCCGCACTTCACGTCGACCGGGGTGTCTCGTCGTCGCGCGGAACCTATATTCCTCGTTCAACAAACACAGGCACTATGGAGCGCTACAGGGGAGGAACAAGGCCACCCTGGAGGAAGCGATGGGCGAAGTCGTAATCGAGTGGAGACGGGCGTACGGGGTCAGGCCTCCTCCGATGACCGACACCCACCCGCACTGGCCCCTCATCAGCCTCGACTCGCGCTACCAAGGGCTCAAGGTGCCGCAGTCGGAGAGCCTGCGGGACACGGCCAACAGGGTGAGGGAGAGCGACCGTAGTGAGGGCGGAAGGAGAAGGCACGGGGGGACAAAAGCTGTTGCGTCGTGTGTTGCTTCATGTGCGTGGTCTTTTCAGCTCAAGGCTGGGGGTGCCGTGATTGGAGATCTGTGTGGACTCAATGTGGTTTACACGGGGATTTGTTGGGAATTAGTGTGTGTGTTGGCCGCAAGGTCACGACGACGTATCGCTGGGTCATCAAGGAGGACAGGGGCCATCTTGCACACGCCCTGCCTCGCGTATCGGTTCGATGCGGTAATCCCTCACCCGCCCGGCCGACCACACCAAACGCGCCTACCGCGCTTTTCTACTGATGTGCTTGATATCAGAGTCTACACATTCGTGCCCGCTTTTCCTCCATATCTCCCGACCCCCGCCCCTGTACCGCACGGCGATGGGTTGCGCGATGCTCCCCCCCTCTCGTTCTGCTATGTTCAGGTGATGGAGTACTGGGAGTCTGATATTGTGCCGGACATTAGGGCGGGGAAGAGAGTAATAGTTGTGGCGCACGCGAACACCCTCCGAAGTCTAGTCAAGAGGTGAGCTTACATTATTGGAGCGGGGGAAGGGGGCGTTCTCATTTAACTATGCGCCCCCCCCCCCTCGAGGAAAGTGTATGGCTTAAGATACCTGGGGAGCGTAGAAAGAAAGATTTGTTTCTAGGGAACGTATACGTCCCACCGTCGTCGAAGAAAGTCGCAAGCAAGGCGCAGGAGAACTTTGGACAAATTGGGGAAGATGTCCAGAGGTTCAGTAGGAAGGGAGAAGTTGTCATGGTGGGCGATTTCAACTCCAGAGTAGGGAAAGCTTCCAGTAGAGGACAGGCGATCGGGCAGCACGGAGAAGACAAAGTGAATGACAACGGAGTGAGGATGCTTGAATTCTTGGGAAGCAACGAACTGATGGTGTTGAACGGTAGGAGGGAATGCGATAAGCCGGAGTTCACAAGGCAACGGGCAGTTTGCAATGAATACTCAATCCTCGACTACATCCTGGTAGATACGGGGAGCACGCAGATCCCAGAGCTGCACGTAAGTGCGACATATATTGGTTCGACCGACCACTTCCTCATATGGGCAAACAACGACCGATATGGAAAGATGGAGTAAGAAACAGAGGAAAGTGTTTTCCGATGGAAGGTAGAGCGTTTGGGAGACGATGGGACACGGGATGAATTCCAGAAGGGGCTGGCTGGTAGTGTAGAATCCTTCAGGAAACTGCTGAGAAGCGTCGAAGACGGACAGGTAGACGTACAAGCAGCAGGGGACAGGGTGATTGAAGGGTGGGAGTCCATCGTGAACGCAACGGCAGAGAGAGTAGTGGGAAAGAAGGTGGTACGATGTGGGGTATCGGTTAAGTGGTGCGATGACGAGCTGAAAGAAGAAATAGGGGAACGTAGAGAAGTCTTCAAGCAGTACCTGAGTGAGGCGTCTGAGGAGGAGAGTTGGGAAAAGTACAGTGCAAGAGAAAACAGGTGAAGGGACTAGTGAAAAAGAAGAAAAAGTGTATTTGGGACGAAGTAGTGCAGAAGGCCAACGGAGGTCTGGAGGGGAACGTCAAGCAGATGTGGGAAGGGATTAGTGGAACGGTAAAAAAGACCGCGCAAGGGAGGGATACAGGGGCACTAACTTTGCGGGGTGTGAAAGGTGGGTTAGTCAGCAGTGGGAAGGGAAAAAGGGAAGTTCTAGCGGGAAGCAGGACACTACAAGAGACTTGGAGCGCCCTCGGAGAATGAAGCTTTTGAGCAAGTTTTTAAGGAGGTGGACGCATGGGCCCAAAAAGAAGAAGAGACATCGAAGGCAGGCGTTGGGAACGTAGAACTAGAAAAAGAGTTCACTGAGGACGAGGTTGAGGCGTGTGTGAACAAGCTGAAGTGCCACAAAGCAGCAGGAGCGGATGGGATAGTCAATGAGTTCATGAAGTTTGATGGGA